GTATTTCATCCAGCCTATGACAAATATGAAGATGTGGCCTGAAACCAACAATCCTAAGATAGAGGTAGACCTCAGAGGAACAAAAGAAAAGTCAAAGATGAACCAAAAAAGAAATATGGAAAGTTGTCCAAGTGTGGAGTGAAAATGACATGTTCCAAGTGCCATCAACAAGGACATAACAAAAGATATTGTAAGGTAAATGTTTCTTGTCAATTATTTCCTGTTGCCATCATATGTTTCCTGTTGTTCATATGAATCTAGTAATCTATTTCCATCACTGTTATGTAATTTGTTGCTCAATGTTATGTAGGCTGAAAATTGGATGCCTTCACAGCATGGTAGCCAAAGCTCACAAGGTGCGAGCCAACCTGATGCAGCTGGAAGCTCAAGCCAACCTACAAACTCTGTGTGTTTTGATACAACAAGGGTTAGAAGGGTTAATGAAGCTAGAAGCTCAAGCCAACTAACACCAAGTTCAGCAGATTCGAGCAGGCCTGCTAGAAGAGGATTAGGTAGTCAACTTTCTCTAAAGGGTAAAACAACTACCAGCCAAAAGAGAGGAAGGGGTGCAAGTAAAGAAGATGCTAAAAAGGGAGCACAAAAAAGGTCCAAAAATATTGGATTTAGCATCTACACAGCTGCAAGTGGAACTCAAATACTAAATGTATATATTCATACATATTTCATCTATAATATGACTTAGAAATAACTTACTAATTGTGGTTCATTATTTGGCAAACTGCAGCCCGGAACGTCAAGCCAACAAGTTATTGCAAGTGGTTCAACTTATAAGAGTGCAGCTCCAACAGGAATTGACCTTGGATTTAAGGCTAGAGGCTTGAGGTGGAAGAGTCAAGATGTTGTCACAACTTCCCAGTTGCAGCAGATGAAGGTAAACTTCAGCAAGAAGTAGTATCTTAGGAACTTATTTTGTCTATATGTTATGTAGCAGCAACTTCAGTCTATATGTTCTGAATTTTGAAACTGCATCTTATGGTTCTATGCCTTGTACAAAAGTTATATATTACAACACTTTCAAAATTCAGCAGCTATTTATTACAACAGCAGTTTCAAAATTCAGAAGTTTATAACAAAATTCAGTTGTACAAAAGTTTATAGCAACAACAGCTGAATATTACAACAACAGTTTCAAAACAGAAGTTTAAAGCAACATCACCAATATTACATATTAATCAACAACACCTAAAACAACCAACAACACCTAAAACAACCAAAGTACATCAGTCATACAGTTTTCATAAAATGACCAATAATACAACAACAATCGTCAAAAAGATCCGTCTTCTTTTTGCTCGAACTTTCTCCTCGTCAAAAGTTTTGACTCTCTTTAATAAACCCCAAATTATATTCTTCGCTTGAGTAGGCATCTCATCGTTATACCAACAGAAATAATCACATCCACCCTTTTTCTACAAATATCACAAAACACTTTTAATCAATTTTTATCAAAGAAAATAATTCATAAAATAGATACAAATTATGAACAAACAATTTACCTTTCTGATTTTGCAAGCAAAAAACCTACGACCTGAGTTTAATTGGGTCCAAGAAGTATTCAACTTTGGAGAAACACCACACTTACAGATTCGAGCGGCAGTGCAATGTGACATTGACGAGTTCGTCGATTCCGAGAAGTTCGACATTAATAACACGACAACAACAGAAATGAGAGGAAGAAGAGAAGAGAAGAAATTAATTAATACCAAGAAGAGAACAGAAACGAGAGAAAGAAGAAAAGAGAAGAAAAGAATTGACAAGAATAGAAGGAGAATTGCTGGAGAAATCTGAGAAACGAACAAATAGGTTTTTTAAGAATTGGGAAAGGGATTAGGGTTTAAATAATAATTGACAATCGATGTTACCGTTATGTGTCTAATTGGGAAAGGAAAAATCACTTATTGGAATACTTCACGCACCTAAATAGGTTTGAAGTCACGCTATATGCCACCAGCAAAAAACGTGTCTAATTGGTATGAGAATTGCCTAAGAAACGTGTGTAATTGGAAAGAGGCCTAGTTTAAGTGTCTATGTAAAAGATCGTGCCAGATTTAGGTGTATCCTTATGTATTACGCCTAATAAGTATGAAGTTGGGTAGAAACGAATAAGAAATTGAGCCGAATATGCAATTTGTGTACTTTCCTCGAGAGAAATTAAAAAATAGCCAGATTTACAAGTGGTCATTCAAAAATAGTCACAGTTTCAAAAGTAATCGAAATTCAGTCATTTTTCATGTAAAGATAAATCTGAACGAAAATACTGTTCAAAATCCGAAAAATATTACAGTATATTATGTTAGAATTCCAGTATAATATATTGGAGTTCCAGTATAATATATCGGTCAAACATAATATACCGGTCCAACATAATATACTAGAGATTGGAGCACCGGTGCTTCAATGTCCAGTATATTATACTGGAACTTTCCACATGTTGGAATTCCATCATAATATACTGGAAGTTCATACACAAGTGCACCGATCTCCAGTATATTATCCTGGAACTTTCCGTGATGCAGCAAAATAATGGCTATTTTTCAATGACTTTGCAAATGCTGGTTATTTTTGAATGACCAATCCGAAAACTGGCCAGCCCGTGCTATTTTTACCTATTTACCGAGCCAACTTTCGGTAAGCCCATTACCGTGATTGTTAATCTTGTTGAAGTATACGTGTGAACTCCAAAATGGAATGTGCAAGAGCATATTGAGTTATATAATTATCCCAATGGTGTGCAACAACTTATTAAGGGGTCGTTTGGTTTGAATATAGGTTATGTTGAGATAAGTTATGATAGGATTAGTTATGCTTAGATTAGTTATGCTGAGATTATTTTTTATCCATTGTTTGGTATGTTGTATTAAAAATGACATTTGCATAATTTATAATAAGAAGGTATAAGTTATCCCAGCACTAATTATCCACTCCTTACAAGGTATAAGTTATCCCGATACTAATTTTAATCCCGAGATAACTTATCCCAGATTTGCTAACCAAACAAAGTATTAAAATGGTATTAAGTTTTTATCCCAGCACTATTCCTATTTATACCTCATACCAAACGACCCCTAAGAGGTTTATAAAAGTAGTACTATTAAATTACTGCATCATTCCCTTACAATTTTTTCACTACACACTTACATATAGAGAAAATTACCTTCATTGTTAGTTGACCAAACATATCAATAAAATTAGGCCCATATTTTAGGTCCTTACCCCATTTAACCCAGATTGTACATATATTGTAAAATAGTTTTCATTAGTTAGCCAAAGCACTTAAAAGGTTTTTTCTTTCTTTTTTTCTTCATTCCCAATTCTCTCGCAACCACGTCTCTTTTCTTTCTTTCTAACCCAAACAGATCCCATCATCCTCTCTTACCTTAGCCTTCATTATTCCTCCTCCCCTTACCCTCTACAATTTTAGCTTAGGCTCCTCCTCCGTCGTCCAAGCTCGCCAAGTCCGATGGTGACAAGCAGAAGAAGAATTGAAGATTTTGAAAGAAAAATGAAAACCCATGCAGATCTGAAATCTTTAGCTCTCAAGCTTGATTTGCGCTGAGAAATAACTATTAATTTTGGAAGAATTGAAGTTTGAAATTCGGATCAGGATTGTTAGGAGTTTGAAGTCTCGGATAAAAATGAATGTATCTTGTTTGGGTATTAAATTCAGAATCGTTCGCATAAAGTTGTAATACATGCTGCAACAACTCGAAGTTGGAATAAAAAATCATAACCATGTAGCAGTTTATATCGACATTGTATAATAATGTATAATTATGTATATAAATGTATAAATACCTCTTATACAATATTATGCATCTTTATACAAGTTGCTATATTGTTTACAGTTAGTGTAGTGTTGGGCACAATGTATTTTCTACTGAAAATATTGTATAACTAGTGTTCATATACAGTTATATGGTATTGTATACTTATGTGTATAAATGAGTATATTTATGTTTAATGCTATATAATTATATTTTTTTTAGTTTATAAGAATCTAGATACAATGTCATTACATAAGAGACCTCCATGAAAGTTTGATACTTTCTTCTCTTCTTTTTCTTTTTGTGAAATATGAAAAAGTTTTTATATGTTCTAGAGGGATTCTACAATTTTTTAATCAAGTTTTGATTTTTCTTTTATCTTGTTGGATTGCTTTAGCAATTGCACATAAAATTTCACTTTTAATTTAAATTTTGATTAACAATTTTGATATGTGAAAACCCAAATAATTTACCATTTAAAAGAGTAATAGAAGATTGGAATATTTCATTAAAAAAATCATGTTTTGCCATAAGAAAAAGAGAAAATAGGAGAAAATATTTATTTTAATACATAATTTGTTGGTATTTAAGTTGGGGAAGAAAAAGAAACAAAGATATAGACAAAAGTTTTGAGGGGGAATGCGGGGATGTGGGGGAGGGAGGGAAAAGTTGTAGCCATGAGAGAGTGATTTTTTTTTGTTATACCATGTGAATGATATCATATTGGTATAAAAAGAATTGATTGTTGATATTTATTTGGCCATCCGATGAAGATATTGTTTTAGGCTAAGCGGTTGAAATGTATTTTGTTCTACTTTTGTGAAATTATTCCTTACGTATATTCACGTAACCTTTTTCAATCTTCTGTAACTTCATACAGAAAAACAATACAAGGGAAGATTAATGCTAATACAAATGACAATTATCAATAATGAGAGAGCCTAACGGAATTGGGCGACACGGAGAAAAGAGCAACATAACTCTAGTAAGCCAATATATCCCCTACTTTGAGATACCTTTCTTGAAAACAACAAATGTCAAAATCAAAACCCACAAAACCGATGATTATTCACTAAAAAAGTTTTTTTTTTTTTTTAAAAAGAAGAGAACTAACCCCTTGCTTTAATTAGCCAATCATATTTTGCCATGTGTAATTAAGCAATAATTAAATTACAGTTTTGTCCGAACATATAGATCTACTGCAGCTACATACACTACAATCCACCCACCCCCACTCCCACCACCCTACCATTACACCCCTTCTCTTGTCTTCCCGCTGCTCTCTCTCTCTCTCTAATCCATTTTCTTCACTGCCTCTAATTATTCTCTGCAATTTCCTGAAAAATTGGGCCTTTTTTCCTCATATTCATAAACATTAGCCGATTTTAAACTTGAAGTAAAATGAAGAAGAAACCCTAGCTCTGAACAAAACCCTAATTTCATCCACCTGTCCTGAGACAAAGAAAAAGATTGTATTTTTTTTTGTTTGTGAGGTTTGAATTGAAATTGTGGAAAGTAGTGGAGGACATGGAAGGAATTCCACATCCAATACCGAGAACCGTAGAGGAAGTTTTCAATGATTTCAAAGGCCGTAGAGCTGGTTTAATCAAAGCACTTACCGCAGGTTCTTTAATTTCTTACACTTTCCTCTGTTTTATTTTTGAGGGCGCTATTACAATTTCTCGAGTCATACAAAATTTCGTTCATTACGATTTTTCAAGCAATTTTGAATATGTTTCTGTAAAAAAAATTGCTACTTTATAGTAGTACCTTTTTGTACAGTTTTTAAATGTATAATTATTTAGAGAAAACTGAAAGAATTGATGTTGGAATTGAGACCAAAAACTAGATTCTTTGACTTTAAATCCCTTCAGGGAGGGAGTATATTTTTTGTACAGTATTATAATTTGGAGAGTCAAACAAATTTTCTTTTATTACTACATTTTTCGTGCAAATTTTTGAATATTTTTCTGTGAAAAATTGCTACTTTTATAGTACTTCTTTTGTACAGTTTCTGAATGTGTCATAATTTTTAATGAAAGAATTGGATGTCCGAATTTAGACCAAAAACTAAAGTGTTTGACTTTGAACCCCTCATGGAGGTAGTATGTAATTTTTTCTCCTTCTAAAGCATATTTTCGCATGTGTTTTTTTTCTTTTGAGAAAAATAAGGTACTCTTTTTTTTCCATATGTATTTTTTCATGTAAGTATACGGGTGTTAGACCTTTTGCTTTGTGGGTGTGTGAGACTCATGGTGGTTTTGCTAATTGTGATGTTTATAACGTTGTGTTATTGTAGATGTTGATAAGTTCTATCAGCAGTGTGATCCTGGTGAGTTTCCTTTTGCTCAGTTTTTCCTTGGATACATATTGTTTATGTTTGTAATATGTGCTGTTTGGTTCTTTTTTGGTGTACAATTGAGAAATGTGAAATGTTGCTTGTTTTCCGCAGTTTTAATTCCTGGAAGCGTGTCTTAATATTTTGAACTTTATAAGTAACACTTTTATGTAGTCTCTGTGTGTATGTTGAATTGCATTGTCATTCGCAATTTTGGAGCCTAAACCACATTGTTATAACTTTTCTCACCGAGTGCATCTTTTTGTCATTTGTTGTTAAGCAGAAATGGCAAAATCAGTTTTTTCTTAAAGTTGTTAATGGTCTGGGCCCTCTGAAATGAGTAATGTTGTGGTCCTAATGGATAATATTTACATGGTGTTAATTATGTATGAAAGATAACCTGGAAAAATGAGATATTTACTCAATTCAGGGAGAAGCATCAATGCTAGTTAGTTTTTCTTTGATATCTTGATAATTGGCTGATTGCTTATCAGGTCTGAGGGAGAACACATGCGAGATTTTTAGTTGCATGGGTAGGCGGGATGAGTTTTGTTTTCTATCAAGTCACACTTATTGAACTTTAATCTTGTATGAGCATGTCAAATGTTGATATTTTAGGTCGATATATGAAAAGTCACTTGTTAGATCTGATCCTGATTTTAGTTATAAGCATGAGCTTAGAGAGGTATAAATTGCCGTGGATGAATAAAACTTTATGTTATCTATGGTAGTTATTCGATATGTTGCATGTCTTAGGTGATTATTAGTAGCTCTTGGCTGCATTTTTAGCTGGTTATTTGTAGTTTGTGTGTAGTTTGGAAACAATATTCTCATGAATTATGTGTATTATCTTCTTTTTCTATCTTTTCTTTTGAGGGGAGGGGCAGAGGGAGTGGGGAGGAATGACTGTTTGTCAATGCAGGTCAATCAACACATTAAAATGTTTGGACTTCTTTTATTCTAAACACTTAAAGGTATAAGAGTTGCTCTTTGCACCAGCTTATTTGAAACACTGGCAGAGTTTCCATATAAGAACTATCTCTGTTTGATCTAACAGAGTGCACTTAGTTCAAGTGTGTTCTTCAATGATTCTTGTCTCCGCTTGGCTTGTGCATGTACTGCTGTTGCTTTATTTTAAACACAAAGTTTTACTCGATAACTAAGCTTATAGCATACATCTAAGAAAAGATTTCTTGAATGTCAAATAAACTATTAATCGGCACACCTTTGGTGGAAGTTGTGCTCTTGGTGGCTAATTAGAATCTCAGTTTCCTAATTAATCTCATCTCTTTTCTTTTGGTTGGAGGTGGAGGGTAGAAGTTGATTACTTTTTGCTTTTACATCTATCAATTTGTTGGTTGTACTTAATAATTCTGCCCTTTTGCATTGGTATACTTTGCATTGACGAGACGCTAGTCAGTGTTAACACTAGGCTGGAATCTGGAGATTTGGAGACAGATCCTGGAGTCTAAGGGTTTCAGGTTGAGCAGGGCTAAGACTGAGTACTTGGAGTGCAAGTTCAGTGACGTACCTATGAAGCGGGGCGGAAGTGATGCTTGATACACAAGTAATGGAGAGATTGATGATGATGTCGCACATCGTATTGGAGTGGGGTAGAAGAAATGGAGGCTCGCATAAGAATGTGCCACAGAGACTTAAAGGTAAGTTTTATAGAGTGGTTGTTAGGCCGACTATGTTGTATGTGGCGGAATGTGGGCCAATCAAGAGCTCTCATGTCTAGTAGTTGAAAGTAGCGAAAATGAGGATGTTGAGATGGATGTGTGGGCATACTAGGAGGGATAAGATTAGGAATGAAGATATTTGGGACAAGGTGATAATGGTCCCTATGGTGGACAAGATGCAGAAAGCTAAGCTGAGATGGTTCGGGTATGTGAAGAGGAGATGCCTAGATGCCTCAATGAGAAGGTGTGAGAGGTTGGCTATGGTGGGTCCGAAAATGGTTAGAGGTAGAACAAAGAAGTATTGGGGAGAGGTGATAAGGCAGGACATGACATACCTACAGCTTACCAATGACATGACCCTTGATAGGAGGGTGTGAAGATCGAGAATTAGGGTAGAGGGTTAGTAGTCGAGCATATCTCTTTGCCATACCAGTAGTTTTAGCGTTATTCCCATATTTTTCTTATCCTAGATTTCTATTACCGCGTGTTGTTTCTTTTGCTTCGGTTATCCTTCTTTATGGCTTTTTCGCTAAAGCACTTCTTTTAAACATTGCTATGACTGTACCTTGCTTGAGTCGAGGGTCTGTCGGAAACAGCCTCTCTGCCTTCACAAGGTAGGCCTTCACAAGGTAGGGGTAACGCTTCGTACACACTACTATCCCCAGACCTCACTTGTGGGATTATACTGGGTTTTTTTGTTGTAGTTTGATGTTCAGGGAAGTTCCTTCTTTATAGATGCAATATAACTGTAGTTCTGTCTTCTTGTTTGAGGTCCTGATGGAGTTTATTCTGTAAGGAGCTTTTACTATCATTCTTGATGACTGTTTCAACATATGCCCATGTGTTTACCTGCAGAAAAGGAGAACTTGTGTCTCTATGGGCTCCCTAATGAAACATGGGAAGTAAACCTCCCAGTTGAGGAGGTGCCTCCTGAACTACCCGAACCAGCACTAGGCATAAACTTTGCTCGTGATGGGATGCAAGAGAAGGACTGGTTATCACTTGTTGCAGTTCACGGTGATTCCTGGTTGCTTTCTGTTGCATTCTACTTTGGCGCACGGTTTGGTTTTGGTAAGAGTGAAAGGTAATATCATTTCCTTATTTCTACCTTTTGATTTCATCTTTTCTTTGATTTCCTGTCCTTAAACTATGTAGATTGTCCAGGTGGGAATATATGGGTATGTAAGTTGTTGTATATTATGTAGATTGTACATTATTTGGATGTGTAATTTTCATTTTTCTAATGGGAGATATGTCTACCTTCTACTGGTCCTTAAATAATAGTTTCGTCTACCTTCTGCAAAAACAACCAATGGTGTGCCTGTTGTATGTGCCATGCTCCGTCCCTGTCTATAATCTCTTCTTTTTCGTGCCTTTTTTTGGGTTGCTCTTTTACCTTTATTTCTCTTATGCAGGGATCTGTTAGTAATTTTTTCTAACGTCTTCCTTTTCAAGAAAAAATGTTCTAACTTCTCTTTTTTGTTATAAGGGAGCATTTTATATAAACAAAAAAGCACAAAAATTTGTATAGTGGGTTACATCAGGTTCTAACAAGTGTATCAGTATCCATATCCAAGAATCTTACAAAAACTCAGTTTCCACCTAGTATAATTCGACATATAGCTGAGGAAATTTAAAAATCTTTCTACATCATGTACATTTTGCATATTACACAAAAAGGCTAAGAAAGATAAGACATTGAACTTCAGTTGGTGAATGTTCTCTCTTTTGCCTTCAGAATGTGTGAGATGTCTTTCTGTCCATATGACCCACCAAATGCTAGCTGGTTTGATTTCCCAGATTTTCTTCCTGCCTTTCCCCATTCCTTTCCCTGTCCAGTTGAAAAGAAGCTCTTTGGTAGATACTGGCATTGCCTATTTGAATCCAAAAGTACGAGAGGCTACTTGTGCAGTGAATGAAAAGGTGATTGGCATCTTCTTCTGCCTTCTCACACATGTAACACTTGTTACAAAGGTTCATGCTTCTTTGTTGAAGGTTATATTGGGTCAGGATTGCCTCATAATTAACTGTCCAGCAGAAATAAGCCACTTTGGGTTGTGCTTTCAAACTCCAAAGTTGTTTCAAAGGCCAATCTTATCCTGTATTGCGGCTGGGGGATGCTTCAGCCATTTGTAACTAGAAATTATAGTGAAAAGCCTGTCATTCTTGTATAGCCAGTGAAGAGAGTCTAAGTTGACTTGATGAACTTTGAAAATTTCTCAATGGTTGCAAAAGTTGAGAAAGGCTGGCATGTTCGCAATCGTTACTGTTTCTTGTAAAACAAACTTCCCATCCAGTGCTTTTAATGCATTGAGCCAGCGTAGCATGAGGATCTCGAGTAAAGCTGTAGAGGTCTGAAAATTGTTCTTTGAGGGTTGAGTATCCCAACCATTTGTCATGCCAAAAAAAGGTCTCGTTACCATCCCCGAAATTGTTCCAACTTCTTCTGCATGCTACTCTTGATTCATGCTTCTTAACCTGACTTGTCTAAGCATTCCGAAAGTTGTTTTATTTGATCCATTATAGGTTAAGCTTTATCAGCACGTCTTTAGCCCCCTACACCCTGGGCCTGCTCACCTTTTGTTAACTTTCTCATCACTATTATCCAATTTACTTTATTATGTGAAAGGGGAAAATGACAGAGAATCTGTCTCGCAATCATGTTTGAAAGTTCTCTTTGCTTGGAACATGTTGTAGAGCATAGATGATATTCTCCCTCGGAAACTGCGTGATATAGTGGGATTGTTCTTTTATCTTTGCAAGATGTTGCTTTTTCTGTTTAATCAAGAATTCATTTCTTCCTATTTTTTCTTTTGTCTTCTCACCCACTCATCATGTAGTGTTTGACCTTGTTGAGTTGTATAATGGTGTCTATATCAAGTATTTAAGGACATCCAAAGGGGATCTATAAAGGTCATGGCTATTCCACCTGCTTTGAGGATTTGTGTTGAATGCTCAGCTTATTTTACATGGGTGAAGAGTCCTTTCTGTGGATTCTTTTTCTCTTTTCTGTAATAAAATTACTTTGATGTTTCGGGATCGAGTACATACCCAGCAAGCTAGGAGCGCTCGGCTTTAATACTCCCCCTTGAGGGGAAGTTAAATAGTATTTTGTAGTTAAGGAGTAAATATTCTGTAATTAAGGACATGGATTAGGAAATATTACATATATCAATTGGTATCTGCAGGGGAATTAATTGAGAGATTTAACTCCTGATTATGTACCATTTCCTATTTTGGATCATGTGTATAAATTATTCAATTCCGCAATGGCTTGAGGGAATAATCAAGCTCAATATTCTCCAAAAACTTCCTCTTCGTCCTTACAGACGTGTCTTACACTGTAAGTAGGATTACTACCTAAGTTTTAGAATTATAGAACCAAGAGTTGCAAGCCATATGGTTGCTTGTTATCAGTTAGGAGCTCCATGCTCCAATGTCCAACTACACTTTATTTGGGAACTATTCTATATTCATTCCCAAATTATCATGACAGGTGAATTATTGCTTAACTTGGTGGTTGCATTGGTGGTTTTGTATAATGATTTTCAGTTTGTGTGAAGATATTTAACCTCTGGGTTATGATTACCAGAACTAGTACTATCTCATTTTCATTTTGTCTTATGGGAAGTGGTTATATTATGCTATATCTATTAAAAACTATATTCTCCAAAATGCTACAGCACCCGTGTCCGATCCCCCAAAAGTGCACTGTGTTTGGAGTATCCGACACGCACCCCTCGTTATTTGCGGACAGTCTAAGAAAAGAGGGTATGTTATGCTAGCCATTAGACAAAGGCCTATCTGAGAATTGGTTCTGCTAGTGGTATTAACCGCTGCATCATTGGATAAATTAGTCTTTAGTTGGATATGATGTCTGTCACATGTTGTCTAGGCGCTTCGTGCAATATTTGTTGGGGCAGCAGTATGTTGTCCCTTTCTTCCTGCCTTTGGATCATCAACTGCCATCTGTCTCTTTTCCCAAGGGGTCATCAAATCTTTTAACATGGGTTTAAGACAAGAGGGGTTGCTCTGATGGTAAGCAACCTCCATTTCCAACCAAGAGGTTGTGAGTTCGAGTCTCCCCAAGAGCAAGGTGGGAAGTTCTTGGAGGAAAGGATGCCGGGGGTCTATTTGGAAACAGCCTCTCTACCCCAGGGTAGGGGTAAGGTCTGCGTACACACTACCCTCCCCAGACCCCATTAAGTGGGATTATACTGGGTTGTTGTTGTTGTTGTGTAAGCTATGCAAAAAAATATTGTAATCTGGATTTTCTACTGGAGTACATCTTGCTAAGGTTCGATAGTTGTGTGTACATCGTTTGACCTTAGCTTGTTGACTCATGAATGTGGTTTATGTTAGTCAAGTATTTGCAATATTTCACCTAGCTAGATCACTCTGGAAACATGGGTTATATTGCTTAATGTTTGTCTGAAGTTCCTTCAGAAGAGAGATTTGACTTTTTTTGGGAAATCATGTATACAGGAAGAGGCTTTTCCAGATGATAAATGATCTCCCTACAGTGTTTGAGGTTGTGACTGGAGCTGCTAAACAGGCAAGGGACGCTGCTCATAATAACAGCAGCAAAAGTAAATCGAGTGGAAAGGTTGCCAATCCACATGAACTTGATATTAATGCTTTTTGGTCATCTTTTCTTTCATGTTGTTTGATTGTTTCTGCTATCAATGTTTTGCAGTTTCGTCAGTCGGAGCCCCAGCACAAGGGGGTTAAGGTGTCAACACCTAAAGAGGAGGATGAGAGTGGGGAGGAGGTAGAAGAAGAAGATGAACAAGGGGCAACCCTCTGTGGAGCTTGCGGTGATAATTATGGCCAAGATGAATTCTGGATTTGCTGTGATGTGTGTGAGAAATGGTTCCATGGCAAATGTGTGAAGATTACTCCAGCAAAGGCTGAGCACATCAAGCAGTATAAGTGTCCTAGTTGCAGTAACAAGAGGGCCAGAGTTTAGACTGCAAACTGAAGAGCAAGCATCAGTCAAATGGTGAATGAAAGGCGTAGAATTTGTAGCTTAACTTATCAAACAAAAAAAGGTCAAGCTTGTGACCAGTGTCAGAATTAATGTATGCTAGATCGCCATTTTTTTTAGACTTTGCATTCTGCTTTCTCTTGTATGCTTTTGGATTGTGTTTTAGATCAAGAAAATTTGTGCCTTTTGTCATTGTGTATTTGGAATTGCCTTCTCTATTCGTAAGACTGCTGATCTGAATACTATAATGCGCTACTATGCGTGAGAGATGCAGAAGACAGGTGCCTTACTTTGTAATGGGGGCTGCAACGTAAAAATTGCACGGGGCGTCCTATTTGGTCGCCCCCATTTAACCTATACCCATTTTTTTTTTAAATTTTTTAATTTGTACCCACTTTTTAAACAATTTCAGTCCCCTTTCTCTTCCTTCGTTTTCTTCTTCTTTCTTCTGCTGCTGTTGGTGCTACTATGAAACTTCAGTTCATGGGACACGTACGGGAAGTTTAATGTCACACTTAGTGATTCTTTTCATAACAATTCTGTTCTTTTCACGACAATTTTGTTCTTTTCACGTTTATTGTTTCCAAATTTATGATTTAGATACTGTTGACACTCTGATTATTTATCTAGTATGTTAGAAAGTTTTTTCAAAAACTTCAGTTTATATAGTGTTGAAGTTTTTACAAATGAACTAAATAATTTCAGTATCTTCTGTTGAAGTTTTTGAAAAAGCTTTATGACAAAACTAATGAATCTAGGACAATTTTTTTTTAGCTTATTTAGTGTTGAAGTTTTTATAAATGAACTAAATAACTTCAGCATCTTCTGCTGGAGTTTTTGAAAAAGCTTAATGACAAAACTAATGAATCCAGGACAAAAAAACTTCAACAAATAGAGAACAAAACTTCAGCTACTATGCTTAAGTTCAGCAATTACAAACAAAAACTTCAGCTACTATGCTTAAGTTCAACAATTACAAACAAAAACTTCAGCACACTTGGTTCAGCAATTTCTGCTGCTTCAGGCCCGTCTATTAGAATGCTGAAATTTTGCGTGATTGCCTTTGCTACTTCAGCCCCGTATGCTGAAGTTACGCGAAAAAGTGGGTACACTTGTCATTTTTTTGCAAAGTGGGCACAAGTTAAAACGTGATCCAAAAAACGGATATAGATACAAATGCCTCGACTGCAATTACTATAATTCACGTGTGAGATAAAGATGGCTTAAATTGTCTAGGGACTAGGGGACAGTAGACACTGTGACGCATTGAAAACTAGGGATGGCAAAACAAGCCCAAACTCAGGTAATCCGCCCACTCCGCCCAAATATTGATGGGTTTGGGCTAGAGTAATTTTGTTGATGGGCTGATTTGGGCTAGCCCAAAGTAATCCATGAAAATTCACTAGCCCAAGTTAACCCATGATAGTGCCCAACTATGATTCATGTTATTGGCCAAAATTCTCTCTTGAACTGGACATATGTGTACTTACACAGTTACATTGATGCTCAATCGAATAAAAATGGGCGATTTGCAGCCGTACCCTATTTTTATGCCACATTTTAACCTATACCCTATTTCTAAAAACTATTGATTTTGTAACCAACTAACAAAAAATCCGTAATAATATGACCATTATACCCCTTCCAAAACATATAAAAGATGCATCAAGCATACCCAGAATTAAATTCCAGATCTTCTTCGTATCTCCTCCATCAGTCCATCTCTCCTGAGATCGCCTCTCGCAAACCAGATTTGAACCAGATTCAAATTCCAAATTCAAATTACAAAATACATTGTAATTATTCAAATTCTTCTTCAGAATTCAAAATAGTTTTTGAATTATATGTTTTCTGATTGATTGATTGAAGTTGTTTGACGAACTTTACTAATATGCTGAATTTGCATTCTAAATCTATTTGACGATGAATTCTAACATTCTAATCCCACAAATATACTGAAACAAGCTGAAGTTATTTAGTTCATATCTAAAAAATTTAGCAAAACGAGCTAGCAAATAACACAACGAAGAAAAAATTATTTGAGTATTTTAATATTTAAAACACCTATGCGCAAAAAACTTCGACATAGGTGCCAAAGTTTTTTAGTTAATATTTAAAAACTTCAACAGGAGGAGCTGATGTTTTTCTATTACACTGGGTAAAAAAAAATAAAACATCAATTAAAATTTCATATTGCACAAAAAACTTCGGCATAGGTGCTGAAGTTATTTAGTTAATAACTTCAGCAGGAGAAGCTGAAGTTTTCCTATTACACTCTGTAAAAAAAAATAAAACATCAATTAAAATTTCATATTGCACAAAAAACTTCGGCATAAGTGCTGAAGTTTTTTAGTTAATATTTACAAACTTCAGCAGGAGGAGCTGAAGTTTTCCTCCTACACTGGGTAGAAAATAAAACATAAATTAAAATTTCATATTGCACAAAAAACTTCAGCACATGTACTGAGTTCTTTAGTTAATCTGTAAAAACTTCGGCTGATGGAGCTAAAGTTTTCCTCCCGCACTATGTATTTTATTATCATTTTTTGAAAAAACTTCATACCAAAAAATGCTTATGTTTTTAGGAATATGTAAAATATTTTTCATATAATTTTTTGTATGCTGAAGTTTTTTTAGTTTGTCTGCTAAAAATGCTTAATATTTTGTCGTGCAATATGTAATTTTCGGATAAGTTTTTGTTAATTGTTCTGTTATTTTCTAAGTTTAAAAAGAATTTTTAGTTCATACTTGAAGTTTTCATCAAGCACTGTGTATTTTATTATGATTTTTTGAAAAAACTTCATACCAAAAAATGCTTAATATTCGGATTAGTTTTTGTTAATTCCTGCTGAACTTATATAGTTCATTTCCTCTGCTATTTTTCGACTTTGAATAGAATTAATATTAAAAAAAAACGCAGAAAAAACTTAAAACAAAAACTGAATATTTCATTAAACATCAAAAAAGATTAATTAAACTACAGAAATAACAAACTAAATATAAATAACAAAATGAAAAACTAATCGTCCATATCATCATCATCATCATCATCGTCGTCACTACAAGATGGACGAGCATCTTCATCAACAAGATTATCAAATCTTGCATACATCACAAGCGTATCAAGCTTGTTGTTAATTTCTTCCAGCTCCCTGTCGTACTTGTGTATGAGCTCATCCAGTTTCAGCTCAAAAGCCTCTATAATGTCTTGCTTGATTTCTTCCATTATTTTCCTGATGATAGCATCCATTTTTACCTTTTTGTATTTTATTATGTCTGCTAAAATATATGTGTTTGAGTGAATAAACTCACAAGGAATAACGTGCTTATATAGGGTAAAAAAACTTCTGCATGGTATATGAAAAGGCAAAGAGGAATTTTAAACGTTGTCTAATGAAAAGCGTGCATGAATGTGATAGGAATGTAATTATTATACTAACACATACCCCCAACGCAATATAATTACTACTTTAATTGTGTAGGTTACTCTTGTATACTATGCAATTAATGCTGAAACATGCTCAAGTTTGTTGAATTCATTTGCTAAAACTTCAGCCCAATGTGCTGAAGTTCTTTAGTTCATTTCTAAAATCTTCAGCACCTAATGAGCTGAAGTTGTTTTCCCTACATTCATGAATCCTTGTCATACAACTTTTTCAAAAAAACTTCAGCTGATATGCTGAAGTTATTAAGCTTATTTCTAAAAACTTCTGTACTTAATAAGCTGAAGTTTTCTATGCAGCATTCATTAATTATGTCATACATCTTTTTCCAAAAAATTTCAGCAGAAGATGCCTAAGTGATTTAGTTCATTTGTAAAAACTTCACCACAAACAACCTAAAAATTCTTCTGTTCACTTTCCTCATACTTGCCACTAACATGAATCTGCAGAATGAGTTCGATTTGCGTTGTTATAACTTTCAATGGGAGTTGGACTCTTGATTTCAAATACTTGGATCATGATACAAAACTTATTCTACTTAATAAGCATATATCATTCAATACTTTCCTGAAGAAAATTAGTGAAGTTGCAAATA